TTTAAATCGCAACTTGATAAAGCATTGGAATACTTAAAATGTCAACATCCGTGAGTGATCACATACATTATTATCATTGTTATTTTCTCTTTGTGAAGTTATTCAAAGCATTCTGTAAAAATCCTATGGGGCATGATAAGCTTTAGCTTTGTTAAAACGCCCATAATAAAACTTTGACTTTGACTTTCAATGTTTCTTGCCCACAAAAGCATGCAAAGTAAGGAAGCTGTGGGGGGGGGGCAGCTAATGCCAATTTCTTTTATTATCCGGAGGATATTTTGATGTTTTCTGACAGTTATTTATTGCTGGCGAGGGGGACTGGTCGATGCTGAAGGAAGCGGAAGCGGAAGACTATAACGCACACAGACAATCAAGGCAGATTTGAGACCACATGAGAGTTTTCTTGAACGCATGGTGTGTCTTGTAGGGACCGGGGTGTGACGGGGCCGACCGGGGGTACGTAATTCACCCAGTCGTTTATCGTTAAGACACGACCCAATGTTAATGGAAACAATGTATTGTGCATTTTATTCGTTACATATTCCGATTGCGCAACTCTCAATTCTGCCGATCCCGTGCCAGATCCAGATTTGAATAAGTGCAGCCGCCCTCTTTGGGGGAGTCATCTATTGTTTAGATATGATTGAGATTGTGACCCTTGTACGATAGTTCAAGTCTGACCAAGAATCATTTTTACTTGGGATAGGTTCGTCTGAGAGAGCATCTATTCCTATCTACGTGTATTGGATGAAAAATTAAATCAGTCTTTGCTAATACCCGGTGCGCATCTCCGCCACCCCACTCATCCGGTTGGGATAACAAGAATATTTTCACAAAATGTACTGGATAAATCATTTGCAAAATCTCCAATCGAACTTGCTATTCCACTCCCGTTATCAATTACTGCACACAAATTACTTGAAATTCGTTCCGTCATTTTTCACACAAAACCTTCAGGAGAATTTTCACATCCCGTCCGGACAGTTGTTTTGACTTCCCAGTACAACTTAACTCTATGGGTTTTCAAGAGTTTCGCAAGGTGTGTGTGTGTGTGTGGCGGAACTCGTTTGATCCCCCTCATTAATCAGTTTTTGTTGTATCACCCCCC